CAAGAATTATTTTACAGAAAAAGAGTAAATTCCATATTTGGTCCTTTATAACAGGAGAATTTCCATATTTAATCCTCTGTTATCAAATATTACCCCCGTAATGGTTCAGATGTCTAAATGGTTCAGCACTTAATGGTTCAGATGTCTCAATGGTTCAACACTTATTGGTTCAGACTGTTTGTTTCAGCCTCTTAATGGTTCAGATGTCTGAATGGTTAAGAGATTTGGCTCGGAATGATTAAGTATTATAGCTCTTAATGGTTCAGGCCTCTTACTGGTTCAGCATTTAATGGTTCAGACCTCTTACTGGTTCAGCACTTACCTATTCAGAAGTTGTCAAACAGCCCCTAAGGGTGCCTTTATACAAATGGTCCTTTTTTATCTTCCGCCATGTGCAGTGGGTGTTAAGTTAAAAGCTAAAAGTATAATTTGACATCAACATTATATCTAGTGACGTGTTGTGATATCGGTTAAGCGAATAATACAAAAATAATGACTAGGATTGTGGGCAAGGATTCCGACGGAAGATCATATTTGTAGACTATAGTTGTAGTAGAAAGCGAATGTAATTCACAAACGGCGCAAACGGAACAATCTTTGGAATTGTGTATGAGAAAAAAGATATATTATCATGATAAAATTACACTTTTAGCCTTCAAATTAATTCCAAGATGATAGAAGATAAAAAATGGGTGGACAATGTTGTAGAGTATTGTGAGTCAAGTTCCACTGTAGATAAGCTGGATAACAAGAAAATGCCTTGTCCTTGCACAAAATGTAAGAACATCAAGTTTAGCTCATCAAAGACCATGTTAGAGCACATTTTGCGATTTGGTTTCGTAGCCAATTATTTCGATTGAGTGTGTCACGGTGAGAGGCATGGCGACTACGTACCTCCCCAACAACGGAAAGTCTCTCGTCAGATCTTGCAGGTAGAGAATATTTTGTAGACATGGTCTTTGATGCTCTTGGCCAAACCGTGATCAACTCAGTCCAGGAAGAAGAGCCAACTATGCCAATATATAATACTTCCTCCGGTCCCAAAAACATGAGAGTTGTTGATTTTTAAGAGATTTAAGAGAAGTGTATTTTTGGTATTGAATTTCCAAAAAACGTTCTTTGATGTGATGGGTAAAAGTAGAATTTGATGGGTAGATTATTAATAAAAAGGTATGATGTGATAGGTATGGTATGAAAAAGTAAGAGGTAAAAATAAATTTTTAATAAAAATAAGAAGTGTTTTTGGGACAAATAAAAAAAGAAAAGAAAAAAATTTTCTGGAACGGAAGAGTACTATTTTATGACCGAGTCTAGTAATCTATTATTACCTCATCCTAAATTCTATTTGTGTTTATTACTCTTTATGCCATTTTACAAACATTAGATGTTTGCTACACTTATTTGATTCTTCATATATCTAAAAGGTCATAACCGACAATTATTTAGGAAAAGATGGACACTAGAACTTTTCTTTTGGGATGGTAGGTGGGAAATGATAGATAGCCTTAAGTGCAGCAATTACACTCCTATTAAATGAAAAATCATGAATAAGGCATTGTGTGGCACAAACTATCTTCCCCCAAAACTGCATGCATGCCACGACCCAATTCTCCCCCCCTATAAAAAAAAAGGGCTTCTCTTTCCACTGATATGCACACACAGTTTCAAGTTAAGATGGAGAAGAGTCTCGTGGTTCTCATGGTTGGCTTCTTCCTGGCCATTTCTTGGGCAGCCGGACCGCAACTGGCCGGTGCTACTCGCACCGGCCATCCCCTGAAGGGAATCCTGGCCGTCACTCCAGACGGCCGGGGCCTCCGGGGAGACTGGTGCCAGTGGCAGGGAGACAGCTGCAACTGGAGTAAAACTTGCTG